ACCATTTGTGAGGCCTGCGACAAAGTATACAAATAAGGGGCTTATTCCATGAGGACGAGCGAGAGGCCCCACCTTTGATAATAGAAGCGAGGGATCCATTCCTCCGTGAGTCATCTCCCCCGTTCTTGTATCTACTTCACACAACTGTTCAAAAGAGCCTTCTTGGGGTGCTTGCTGACCCACTATTCCCTTCCTTCTAGTTCGACACCTTGTCTGACGAGTAATCCATCAACCTTTTAGGTGCAGTTATGGCCCTCGACAAAGTGTATTTTCAAATCTCCCTTTAGATCCAATCCTTCCCTCGCACGAAGTTAAACAGTCGATCCTTCTCATACATGTCACGAATCTCCAACATGCAAGCAGAATATTCTTTCACATATCCACAAATGAAGCTCTAATGTTAGAGGGTCACCAATCTCATACAGGAAACGGACTCAGTATTCTCTGGGTAGAATTGTGCCATGAGTTCCTTCTTTAATTCCTACCAAGTATCCACTGATGTCCTTTTTGATCGGATGTCGACATACTTGGTGCGCCATCAAAGCTTTGCATCATCAACCAAATACATTGTGGCAAATAATGAAGTATTGTCCCGTGTTGAAAATGAAATTATCGAATTCCTTCGAGTCTCTCGTTCCATTGAAGGTTCGAGGTTATAAGGATTTTATCTTTGCACCTCCAACTCCCCCAAGACCTCTTGAGCAAGCATTAGAGTGGCACATTTGTCTAGTGCCTCATCGCCGCTATTTCCACCAATCCATCTACATTCAACTTGCAGTCTAGCCAAGCAAGTTTTTCCTTCCAATTTTCCATATTCTAGTAAGTTTTGAGTGCTTGCACTGTGTCTCTAGAATGAGCCTTGGCTCTGATACCAACTGTCACGGTCCTAGTGTTTTGACACCTGATCGTGCGGCGCGCTATTGCTTTGTGGCGATGAGAACGCAAGCCTAGTGCGGACTTGGGGCTTGTTAGCACAAAGAAACACAAGTGGCAAAGGTATTTCAAGGGAGCCGAGTCTTAATGTAACGAGTGCGGAGTCAGGGCTTGTGATGACTGATACTTCAAAGCGGGCACAAGTGGGTCCAACGACAACGAGGGCTTCTTTGGAGGTTCTTTTGGTTTGGAGGGGATGTTTTAAAAGAAGACAAGCATAATATTAATACAGGCATAAAATAACACACAAGTTTCAAAGAAATAAGCAACCGGGTAGGGAGCTTAGATTTTATTCAATCATTCGCTCCTTAAAGAACTTTAAATAGATTACATATAGAATTACTAGTGAACACTGAAATGACAGTAACACAATAATTCTACCTAAAGCCTAGAAAACATAAAGAAAGATTTAAAGGGCATTACATGGGGAAATCACAAGGAAAAGAGGGGGGTACATAAAAGAAAGAGGCGTATCTAACACTAATCCACCTTGCAACAACCATCTGTTGAAACTTCTTTAGTCCCTCCTTTGTTAAAACATGTTTAAAATGTCCTAGAAAGACAAAAAAAAAAAAAAAAAAAATAGAAAAAAAACCTTACAAGGAATCAGATGAGGTCACTTACACGACTCACGTCCCACACCCTCACTAATGTCAAGTGGGTTAGCCGGGCAATGAAGCATAATGGTGGCTAGGGAGCCCCCATTGGCTACCAATGGCATTTTTTTCATATAAAGCTTAATATTACAATAAGCTTGTACTGATAGTGAACACCACATTAACAATATCTCAATGAGCCGTTTAAGACCGAGACGGACTCCGAATGAGATGGTGGTCCACCGCTTTTCAGATCAAGAAACATCATTATAAATGCGGAATTATGCGTGGCATAGTTCCAGAACCCTATGGAAAGTTCTACAACTGAATAAGGATATCTTGTACATAACTAAGGTGCTAAAATTGTATAGAATACACCATAACATTGTATATAAGAGCATTGCAATTAGAAGAGTGGTTGAATCTTCTAGAATTAGTCTCAGTAGAACCCCCCGTGTGAGAAGGTTAAGAACTTTCTAGAATAAAAAACCATGAGTACGGTGTTTGGAATAAAGGATGAGAGCTCTAGTGTAAGTTCACAATGAAATTGGTGATAAATGAACATTGTCGCGAGGTTGGCAATCACTTGTCGCTTCTTAGCGTTCAAAAGAAACTTTTGAAGTCGTACATCTATTTACTTAATAACTAATGTAAGACTATGATTTATTAAAAACAATTCAATGGCAAGTAATTTTAATAGATCTTTGCTTCAAATACCACTGCACCGCCTATTGGCAATGCGTCTTGTGCGACCAAAACAGCCTTATGATCAACATATACATTAGCATCGAGAGGACGCTCTCATGGCTTTGTCGTGCATCTTCTAAGGGTGTGAATTCAATTATATTGTAAGGTATATTAGTGTTAGAATCCGCCTTTTTCTTCTATGTATCCCCTCCCTTTTTCCTTATAATGTCCCTATGTAATGCCCTTTAAGTCATACTTTATATTTCTAGACTCTAGGTAGAATTATTGTGTTACTGTCATTTCATTGTTCACCATTAATTCTATATGTAATCTATTTAAAGCTATTTAGGGAGCGAATGATTGAATGAAATCCAAGATCCCTACCCGGTTGCATATTGCTTTGAAACTTGTGTGTTGTTTTAAGCATTTATTGATATTGTGCTTTCCTTGTTTTAAAGCATCCCATCCAAACCAAGAGAACCTCCAAAGAAGCCCTCGTCGTCGGACCCGCTTGTGCCCGCTTTGAAGTATCGGCTATCACAAGCCTCGACTCTACACTTGTTACATTAAGATGCATGCTCCCTTGAGATACCTGTGCCCACTTGTGTTGCTTTGTGCTCACAAGCCCCAATTTCGCGCTAGGCTTGCGTTCTCGTCGCCAAAAGGCAAGAGCGAGCCACACAATCAAACATTCAGACTATGACAATTGGTATAAGAGCCAAGGCTCATCCTAAAGACACTGTGCAAGCACTTAAAGCTTGTTAGAAGATGGAAAATTGGAAGAAAAGACTTGCTTGGCGAGATGGTAAGTTGGAACAGTGGACCATGCTTGAGGAAAGGGTTCCCAGACCAAGAAATTGTTATAAAGCAAGCCGAGATGGAAAAGTACATGGTGAACATAGTTAAATTGCTGTGTACAGAGGGTGGCCGATGAGGCACTAGACAAATGTGCCACTCTAATACGAGCTCAGAGAGGCCTCAGGGGAGGAGGTGAAAAGATAAAATCCCCAAAACCCTGGACCTTCAATGGCACTAGAGACTCGAAGGAAGTCGATAATTTCATTTTCAACACGGAACAATACTTAGAATTTGTCACCTAGAAGATGAGTTGAAGGTTGATACAGCCATAATGTATTTGGTAGATGATGCAAAGCTTTGGTGGCGCACCAAGTATGTCAACATCCAAGCAAAGAGGACGTCGGTGAATACTTAAGAGGAAGGAACACATGACACAATTCTACCAAGAGAATATTGAGTTCATTGCCCATACGAGGTTGGCGACCCTCCAACATAAGAGCTCCATTCGTGAATGTGTGAAATAATATTCTACTTGCATGTTGGAGATCCATGACATGTTTGAGAAGGATCGATTGTTCAACTTCGTGCGAGGTTGGATTGGGAAAAAAGGGAGATTTGGCGCCAGAAAATAGACACCTTGTCGGGGGCCATAACTATAATTGCAGCTGAAAGGTTGATGGATTACTCGGTTTGAACCTGAAGAAAAGGAATAGTGGGTCAACAACAAGCACCCCAAAGAGCACCTCAAGGGCTCCCAAGTTAGTTCGAGTAGCGTGGGGAGTGGACGTAAGAGTGAGGGAAATAATTCATGGAGGAATGGAGTCCTCGCTTCTACAAACAAAGATGGGGCCTCCAGCTCGTCCTCATGGAACGAACCCCTTATTTGTATACTTTATTGCGGGCCTCACAAATGGTTTGAATGCCGCCACAAAGGAGAAATTGACAACCTTTAGAAGAAACTTTCCTCGATGTCCATGGAGCTTGACAAAGTAAAGGACAAGGTGGAAGAGGAGATCAGTGAAGAAGAACCCTCAAAATTGAGTTCGATACACTTTATGTATGCCATGGGAATAGAAACATCGATAGATAGATGTCCATCAAATGACCTGATTTACCCTTGAAAAGAGGTGCGGAGAGCCTTTTTTTGGTACAACTTTCAGGCGAATTAGGGACGTCTTAGGTACTTTTTGGACGTCCCCCAATACAAATTGAAGCCTAACCCTAAAAAAAATCCTCTTCACTTACCTTTGCGATTGGGAAAACCCTAATCCTAAAATACAAAGACAACAGAGTAGAAGCAGCGACCTGCTGCTGTAGGCTGACCATCAGCTCCGACCAGGCGACCACCAGATGCAGAGTTCTTTCTCTCGCTCGCTGTTTCTTTTGTTCTGTTTTGTTAGATTTTTTTTATGCATTGAAGTTTTTTTATTCACTTGTTTTTTATTCATTGGTGTGATTATGTAGGTTTTTTTTTTGTTTGTTTTTTTCTTCCCTATTTCGATTCCTACTATAGGTTTCTGCTTTGTTTTTTTTTACTATTTTCTTTTTTTTTTCCTAGATGTAATTTTAATCTTAATGTTGTTATGTTGTGACTTTTGTGATTATCTAAAAAAAAAAACTTCTATAGATTTATATTTTGCTGATTTTTTTTGGCGTATCCATGTCGTACCTGTTTTTTGGAATTTTGGATTTTGCCATATTCTGTCCCCGTACCCGTTTTTGTACCCGTATCCGTTTTTGTGCAACATAGCTAAGTAGGATTATAAGATCCTACAAATTTTATCATCAGTAACGTGTTTTTGGATCATAAGATCCAAATCGAATTTCAACAACAATGAGGCTAGTGACAATTTTATTTTTTAACCACTGAATATACCACCAACATGTAAGGTGCTTAAACATAATGTACTAAGATGGTGAGGAAGAGAGCAAGGGTGAGAGGAAAAATAAATTAGCAAGTAGAAACAAGGCCTTTTTTTTACTTACCTGTTGCCGCTGTTACTTGAGATTTAATAACATGACCTTTGTTCCTGAACCATTCAGCGACAAAAGGTACACCAAGGTATATTGCCTTTTTTCCAAGCTCTTTAGCTGCCTGTCTTGAGTATATATAACCAATTGTGTTTAACATATCAACACCATATGCTGCAGAAGCAAGTCAAAGTTTGAATTAGAAAGATTAAAAAAAAAACAATTCAATATTTTATATAGAAATATACACATCCACATCCACCATCTTGTACATACATAGTAGTTTACTAAGAGAAGTAAATGCTAAGCCTTCAGTAGCACAAAACTTCACATGTATCATGAATCTATTATACTTATTTTGACTAAATTTGTCTGGTTTTTAGTTATTGGAAGTCCCACACCCTTATCTACACTTCATGAATCTACACTTCAAAGAAATATATTTCAAAACCGAATTTCATTTTGTATTGGATTGGACTAGACTTGGATCCAAACTTGACATTGAATTTACACCCTTATCAATTTAGAAAGTTGGTGACAATATGGAAAGGCACACTGTGCATACATTTCTTAAGGTGTAGACAACTAAAAAAATACAGGATCATTGAAAAATAAATTCAATTGATTTGGTATGAATCTGAAATTGAACGGAAAAAATGTCTACACACCTTTCTACCCTAGCCCAAATAGGCTTCAAATAAACTCAAAGCCTAACGATAACCTCTACTAGGCCCACAAACCTCCAAACTCCATCAAATGGCCAAAGCCCGCCAAAAATCCTAAATCAAAGCCCTAGATGTATAGAACTGCTTGTCAAGTCCCACACCCTTGATAGCGTCAATGGGCAGTAGGCAACACTCTTGGCCAAGGGGGATGCCCATGGGTGTCAGTTAACACCTTCTCCCCATAGAACTTTATTTTGTATTAAGTTAACATTTCTAGTGAGCACCACATTGACAATAACACAATTATGGGCCTTTGAGGCCCAAATGAGCCCAAACTAGGGGGGGAGGGGAAGCGTTTTTAAGTCCAATAAACATCATGGTGAAGTCGGTTTTTTAAGGTGAGGCCAGAAACGTCCAGAATGCACTAAGAGGTTCGAGAAACGTCCAGAAGTTTCTAAATCTTTTTAGGGCAATCTTGTACATACTAATAGTAGCTAGAATTGTATGGAACTCTACGGAAACTTGTACATATGAGTCTTGTACATTAGAATTGTGTAAAAAAATTTAGAGGTTAGCTTGTAGGACCCTCCATTTGAGGGGGTTAAGAATACTCTAGAAGGAAGTTTCTAGGCTTAACTTGGGAGCCCTATAAATAAAGAGCTTCCCCTAATTTTTACATCACTAAAGCCGGTAAACACTCTCTCTCAATAAAACATTTTCTTATAAACTTACCCACTTATGCATCCATCTTTACTTCTTTACTTAAGCTTTCGTTGCCTACTTTGCTTTAAGCATCATCGAGGTTAGCCATAACTAGCATCCTATGTGACATGCTGCTCTATTTTGTTGTTGCTTGTTTCTTGTGGCCGTTTTTTGGTGATAAATAATTAAAAATAAAAAATAAAAAATAAAAAAAACCTACCTGCCACACATGTAGACTTTAGGACTAGCGTACAACACTCAAACCCAGTGTAGAATACTCAAATATGACGTGGAACTAAAAACGCAAAGTCGTCATTTAAAACAGGTGACACTAAAACATGCACACAATAATAATTCAAGACAACATAGAATCCCACATATTAGTAATAGAATCGAGTGAAGGCTAATACAAGTGAGCACTAACTCCACTTCTAGCCTTAACGTTGTTTAGCTCTTAGGAGTGAATCCCACAACACAAACCTTCCATTGCTTTCATCTAACAACCCTTTTGTACATTCAATTTTTGTAAACTAAAATGCATGACACAATTTGGTTATTGAGTTTTTCAGCAAAAACGAATATACCTAGAACCCCATTGAGAAATCAGTTCTTCCATTAGACACGCTAATTCACATATCACTATCAAACTCTTTTGTTTTGGTTTTAAATTTCTTCTGGGCTATTGTAAAACACATTAACTCCGTTCTTTTTTTTTTTTTTTTTTTTTTTCATCTTCTGACTTGCTGTTCAAATAAAATTGTAGTAGTAAGTGGAAAGTGAGTCCCTTTTTTTTCCTTTTTAGATAGGAGAAAATTGCCTAGAAACATTTACTACCTCCGTTAAATGTCATGTGCAACTTTTGCCAAAAACGGATGATCGAGGTTATGTGCAACTTTCCATTTTCTTTCCTATATTAGTAAACAAAAAAGCTTAAAAAGACTGATATACCCTTACTTAAAAAATCAGATTTGAATAATTAAGTGGGGTGGTCCCATTTTCTCTCTCCCTTTTTTAAGTGGGGTGGTCCTATTTTCTCTATCCCTCCTAATAAAATCAGATTTCCACACCCTTTTTAAGTGGAGTGGTCCCATTTTCTCTCTCCCCTTTCTTTAATTACTTCCCATTACACTAGCTAATCTTTGCCCCTCAAATTTTTCCTTGGTAACCGCAAACCCCTCCAAAGTTGCACATAATATTTAACGGAGGTAGTATATTTTTGTATAGTTTATGTGGACCATGTGGTGGGGTAAGAAGTAATAAAAGTAGAAATTTTCTTTATTATAATAGAAATAAAGCAAAAGTACAAAGATAAAAAAAATAAAATAAAAATAAAATAAAATAAAGTCGGAAGATTAAAAAGAACGGAGAGAGAACACTGATTAAGAAATGCAAACGGTACCCTTATACAATGACACAATCACAAATATTAAGTCTACTATAAACTAATGAGTATGCTCCACTTAAAACTGAAATAAAACATAATATGTATAGAAAAATAAAATTAAAAAAACAATCATTAATATGACATAACTATCAATAATTTGATAAGTAAGCCACTGCATAAGAGAAAACAAAACATAAGACCACTCCACTAAATCACAAATATGCAACATTATACCTGCTAATGTATATGAAACTAAATCATTACACATACTGGGTTACAATTCATGTAATTTGTTTGCCCCATCATGTAAGCATAGACGCATTCCATTCAAATAGTGACATGGCTATACCTATATTGAGAGTAAAATATTTATAAATAAACAAAAAATAATAGGCACAAAGAGACTTTCAGTCTATTACTTTATTAAGCTTCCTAAATTCAAAATCCATTTGGGTATAGTACAAACAATCTAAGAAAATTTAAAAGATGAAGACAAAGAACAATAGCTCTATATTTTTGTGTTAAAACTTGTTATTTTGAGTGATAAATAACCAAATTAATTAGAAAGTCCAATCTACACACACTCACGTGAATGAAAAAGACTATAGGAAAACTCTTAGACTACTTGGACTGAGCAGACTTCAAATTAAGCTGAAATTATTATCTCAATAGTTAGTTACACTACATACCAAATTGAATTCACACCAAATTAAAGAAAACTTGAATCTGTTACGAGAAATGAAGAGAGGCGAAGCATGCATAGTTTCAAATCTCTCAATGCCAATTATATACCTAATCCCAACCCATAGAACATTAAAAACTAATTTCAAAAGGTTGAAAAGAGAACAGAGTGAGAAACAATTTGAAGAAACAAAAACAAGAACTTGGTATTTTGTGTTAAAGCTGGTTAATTGATTGATAAATCACCAAAAAAATTAGAAAATCTAAATCTTAATAAACTCAGTCAAATGAACAAGAATACAGAAAACTTGGGACTAGATGGACTTAGCAGACTTTCGATAACAGAAATCATCATCTCGATAATGACTTACATTACATACCAGGTTGAATCCACAGCAAATAAAAGATAATATGAAACTAGTAAATACATATCAGATTTAATCCGCACCTAATTAAAGATAATATGAAACTACTTCTCCATCCCTAAATATAGTGCTCGTTTGTAAATTTCACGGTAATTAAGAAGATGGAGAATGAAGTACAAAAAGTACATCAAAAAGAGAGAAATACTAAAAAAAATAGAGTGGACCACTAATAATAATTACATGTACAAGAATAAAGGACATGCACATGGGTGGGGGCACAAAGTTTGAGAGAAAAATTAGGGTAGTTTGGGTATTTCAAGTAATAAAGACAAAGAAAAATGAGGGTGTTTTGATAATTTCATACTATTCTAAAATGGAAAGATACTAAATGAGAACAACATTTTGGGTCACCCGAAATGGAAAGTGAGCACTATATTTAGGGACGGAGGGAGTAGTAAGAGAAATGGAGGCAAAAAAAAAAAAAAAGAGAGAGAAACTAAGAGACTAGGTAATTAAACCGCACATAGTTTTAAATCTCTCAATGGCATTTATATGCCCGATCCCAACACATAAAACATTGAAGCCTAATTTCAAAAGATGGGAAAAAGAATTGTGTGAGAAACAATTTGATAATAGGGGGCATGCAGGTACAAAACCAATATCCCTGGTTTTCACCTTACCACTTTGATCTATGAAAATTAAACAATTCTTTGTACTAGTACATAAAAACTTGTTTATGCAGAAGCGTAATTGAAGATAGAGTGATTGATGTGGTAAATGAATGTAAGAAAAAAGGTGGATAAATGGAATAACGTGAAAGTGTACAAAACTTCCAAAGAAGGACAAACAAGAGAAAGTGTTAAGAACATTCAAAACAGTAGGTTATTTGTGTGTGTGACACAGAAAACATCATATCCGCAACAGGGCCATAGGCCTTCAAATCTTGCCTTGACAGTAACCCACACATATAAAGGAATTTAAAGGCTACGCACATGTTTATAAGGGGGTGTGAAGCCTTCTTTCTGTAAGCATTAATAATCCAGTCTTATCACCACCTGTAAATTTGGAGAGAAGACAATCAAGAAATAGTACCTGCACTAGAAAGTCTAGAGACTTCAGCTTCAGCATTACTCTTAAAATTCTCTTTACTTCCATGCACATATTGGTTGAGTCGATCTTTTAATTTTTCTGCAAGTTTCTCTTCCCTTTCCTTTTGAATTACCTATTATAATCACAAGTTGTGGGCAAATTGAAATTTTTTAAACTAAACTGGTAACATAAACAAACCCGCTACAATTATCCATCATCAATGCTAAAAACAATATGGCAATCACAATCAAAGCAAGATCGCCTAACTAATAACATCAGAGGCTATATCATTAATATATGTTCTAACAAAGATGTAAGAACAACTATAATTTAGATGGAACTTCACCAGAATCAGGCCCTATCCTACTGTAACCCAATTTAATTAGAAAGAAAATCTTATCTGAATCCAAAATACAAATAGTTATATGTTTAATCTAATTTAAAAGATCCGACTCTGAGTATGAGTCACAATTTAAATCGTGCATACTCCAACTCAATTCCAACAAATAAAAAGTGTATGCGGATGATTTAAATAACACTCCAGAAATTCTTTTGTCTTAAAATTTCTAGCTTGACTAATTAGAACAAATTAATGATCAATAAAAGTTTCTCGCTTAAATTATGAAGCTGGGCTAGAGTTGTAACATAAATAACATTTTTTTCAAAAGATAACACAATTTGAGGAAAAAAAAAACAAACGATTTGGATCGAAATGAGAGTTGGGCCGGATGTCGAATGTGAGAGGACCCAACCTCACCCAAGTCGTATCAGAGTTTCTATTATTCAATCAAAATCGGACAAAATCCAATCTGAATTTGACCCGTTAACAATTCTTACAAATATAATGCTTCCCCTATTTTTAATAAGTGCAACATTTGGACCTTTACGATTGTCAATGCACATCTTTGACCACTAATATCTCTAATTATTGGTTTGAAAAGCCCCACACGACTATATCTTTCCTAAATTAAAACTTACAAAAGATGGCCGGCACTTGTATCAATAGTGTAAAAATCTAAATGTTACACTTGCTAAAAAAAGGAATGAAGTATAAAGAATTAGGCTTCCAAAATCATTAAAGGTATTAAAATGAAATACTCTCTCCATTTCGTAATAATCGCAACATTTTTCTTGTTCATCCGTTTCATAATAATCGCAACACTTCCTTATTTAAAAGGACCCACTGCTATTTTATTATTTCTCTCTCCTACCAACCCTACTTACAGAACTTTTTTCTTTTATCTAACCAAGTAACAATCAAAGATAGGAAAAATGAAAAGAATAATTCCATCTTTGCTCCATCTTCCGAAAACAATTCCACCTTCAATTTATAATTCCAGAACAATCCCACCTTTAACCCCCATTTTCTTTTAATGAACCTTGACCTGTTGGTAACCAGTTTTCTTAGGTTGCTTGCCAAATGTCAATGTCTAATTGGTCTATTTTATTAAAAAATACAACAAAATAATTTATCCCTGCAAAGTCCCAACCCCATCCTAACAGCCAACTCCTTCCCTACCCCGGCCCCGCCCTCCCCACCAACACCCATGTCTTTCCCTTCCTCGCAGCCTTAGCTTAGCCCATCCACACACCCATCTTCCACTTCCCCAGCATCCTCACCCCTACCTACACACCTATCACCGCCAACCAACCATACATCCACCGTCGCAACCCTATCACAACTACCATAATCACCACCAATAACAATCACCAACTCGCCATAACCACCACCCCACCATAACCCACCACACCATTACAATTTTTCTCTCTTTCTCTAACATTTTCTTCTTCTTTTCCTTTTTTTAATGCTTTGAATATCTGATCTATGGATTTGTTCACCATTCACCATATTCAACCCCAAAAAAGTTTGTTGTTGCTGCTTTAAATCTCTGATTTTTGGCTCTTTTCCTTACTTTTTCTTTTCAATTAAGATTTGTGGGTATGTGGGATTATGTTGTTGTCGGTGGCGCAGTTGATTAGACTGAGGAACCTGCCATGAAAGCAGGAGGGGAAAAGGAAGGGGAAGGTGGGTGGGTGGTGGTGTTGTTGGGGTGTTCGGCCCGTTACGACAGGGGGTGATGTTGTTGGGGTGTTAGATGAAGGTGATGGGGAGGCGGCAGAGGGAGAGGGTGGTGGTGTTGTTGGCGGCAATTTTGGGGTTGTGGTTATGGTGTTGGCTGTAGAAGTGGGTGGGGAAGGTGGAGGATTGGGACTTAAGAAAAAAGAAAAAGAAATTTACCTGTTTAACAGGTTGTAAATAATTTAGCCTCTTAAAAGAAAATAAGGGTCAAAGATGGGATTGTTTAGGAATATATTGAAGGTGGGATTGTTTTTGGAAGACCGGGTAAAGGTGAGATTTTTATTTCCATTTTTCCTTAAAGATATCCCCACTAACTACTCATTATATTATAGAATTCCTTCTATAGTCTCCACCCTATATTTTTCCTAAAACTTTGTGCCCTGCCTCACTATTGTGATTATTACTACGGAAAGAGTACTTTAGAAGAGAGTAGTAAATATTCATTGTCTTCTTAAAACAAAAAAAATTTTTATGGTTATGGTTCTACTTCAAATGAAATAAAGTTTTGGGAGCATAAGTTGATTCTAAGAAAATTAGCTTCCACACAAAGTTCATTTTTGAAAAAATAACCAAAGGGCAAGTTAAATATTGACACTAACATAACATGTCAAACAAAGACCTTTTGATTTTACATTTTAAAAGCACGAAAATACAAAAACAATATTTGTTTTTAAATAGAGCATAACTAAAGACCTTATTGATTACACCCTTATCTCCATCAACCGAACCTTTCCAACTCATTATGGTTGTTTAGACATTTCCATCTTAAAAACTCCGTGCCTAAAGGGTTCCAAATCATACAAATAAATAGTAAAAGAATTCTTATTTTTTTTTTTAAAAAAAAACATTTCGGTTCATAAGACACTAAATGCATAGTGGCTTCCTGATGAATTGATATCCTCAACAAATTCAAAATCGTGATATTCAAAGGCAATGCTCCAACCCCCTTCATGTTTCAACTATAACAACATTTTTGCCATTTTCAAGAAATTCTAGTCTATTGAAAGCGTAGGAAATTAACATATGTTACACAAATGATATCAAGATTTTTTTTAAAATAAAAATAATTCAGCACAGCCACGTATAGAAAGACTTAAACAAAAACACAGAACACACACATAGAAAGAATAGATTACACAGAATGTGAATGATACCTTCATCCTTTCTTGGAGCTTTCTAGTATCCAACTCTTCTCCATCGGTGAAGAAGTCCATTGAAGCCATCGATGCCATGGCAGGCTGGCCTATGTATTCTTCAAAAAGCTCACTTCCAAAAAGCATGGCAAAGATTGCTGCGGGATCTATAATTCCTTCACTGGAGTTGAGAATAAATATTATATCAGATACTAAGAAAAACAAAAATTATCAAGAGACACAGCGTATTTCAGTTTCAAATAGAAATAAGTCATAAGAGCGGAAAGTTAATTGTGTTGGACACAGTGACAGACTTTCCCGGGGAAACCACCATATAAGCAACAAAGAATATTAGATCACAGAATTACTTTCCAACCAGAATGGTTCATCATCCCTATCCAACCATAATAAAGAAAAAATAGCAAATTATGATCTCCAAAGAACAATAATCCACCTTCCTCTTCTTTCTATAAAAGCTATTATAATTAATTTACAGGTACCCTTTTTTAACCTATATGTAGGATGAGTATCATAACAAATTATTCAACATGTTTCTAACCCAAACCCAAAAAGTGCACAATAGTTTATTCCAAAGAATTAGTCGTCCGAGTACTCGGTAATGAACACCCCTAGTCAGTTTCAACAGATTTTATTCCCAAATTTCCTAAATCCCAATTGGAGACCAAAAACGTAATACCTAGAGACCGATGATCGGTCCGGCCAATATTGGTCTAGGATCGGACCGGACCGGATCCAAACAGAGTCTGTTCCAAACTTCTTAACATAAACTTTACTTCAACCGGATAGACTCCATGTAAATGATACTTCCTCCGTTATTAATTTAGATGACTAACGGTCCTAAAAAGGAAATGTCACAATATTTGACCTATACAATTACCAACCTCCTTCCCATCCAAATGAAGTATTCTCTATATAATCGGGCCAACTCTAAACCACCATCCCCATAACCCAAAATCATCGGTCATCTTACCGAGCCACCACCAACACTACTGAACCACCATCGAGCCACCACCAACCTTACTGAACCACTACCGAGTCACAACCAACCTTACTGAACCACCACCAAAACAACCACCGTAAACCTCAAAACCACCACCCTAAACCTCGATACCACCACCCTAAACCTCAAAACCACCACCGAGCCACTCTTTCCTTGCCGAATCACCGCCATGGAACTTGAAACCACCACCGAACAACCCTTTCCTTAATCTTCTTTCAACAATTCAAGCCCAATTTTATGGTTAGACAAGGGTGGTGGTGGTTTGAATGAAGGTGGTGGGTTGCGACTGGTTAGATGTCGTGAAATGAGAACAATGGGTGGTGGTTAATTGGTGGGACGAGGAGGTATTGGTGTCGGTGGTGGACTGGTGGTGGTTTGTAGAGTTGAGAAATTGGTGTTGGCGGTGGACCGGCGGTGGGTGTGGCGAGTGGTATAATGGGTTATTTCTTTTGTTGGTTTTATTACTTATTTAATGTACTTTATTAATAAACAATGGTTAAATGTACCCAATACACACACTCTCTCCTCTTCCTTAAAAAGCATGCCCCAAGCTATGGGTCATCTAAATAGAAACGGAGGAAGTATAACTTACTACATATATACGAAATTACCTATTCTAACGAGAATAATAATAATCGCAACATACAATAAAGGGAATAAAGATTTATTATAAAACTATTCCAATTTACTTTGCCAGCAACATTTTATCCAAAAAAAAAAAAAAAAAAAAAAAAAAAAAAAAAAAAAACCTTTAGCGGCAACAATAACCCTGGCACTAACAATTTGCTTGATTTTTTAAATTTTATGATGAAGATGGAGGATACAAGTTAAGCAACTATGGAGAAGAATTAAATAATATAGTGAATATAGGGTTTTTAAATTTTAATTCAATGCTAGTTGTCAAACACTAGTCATATACAAATATGACTTTTTCTTTCCCTAGGTTAATTTTATTACTAGCTCCATTTTTTTTATGTGCAACAAATGAATTTTTTATGTCTCACATAAAATACCCCTTTGCTGCAAATAAACAAAAACAGAGGTAGCATTTAATGCTAGGGTCAGACTAGTCAGAATAGTAATTATATCACCAAGCAAAGTTTGGGAAGTTGGGTCTCGTCAGGTCCAGACTGAAATTGGCGGTCCTAAATGGGCAACGGTCAGTGATGGTGGTGATGGAACGATTTTTGAAGTATGATATGTTCGTTTAAGCATGCACCTAATGCATGTCCTACAGAGAAAGCAAGCAAAACTATTTATAGGTAACATGATCAGGTATTTTGGGCTACGTAAGGACATCATTGTAGAGATCTAAGACACCAAATTCACTGATTTGTTTAACATGTTTTTGATTGCTCTTTATAACATGCTGGGATTTGAGTTGAACTTTACCATGGCATATCATCCACACATAGGCGCAAAAATATTTGAGCCTTATGTGACTGCTTGGCAGAAGAATTGACTTGATCTATTGGATACAATTCAGTTTTGTTATAACCTCCACAAAAGCTCAGCGACGGGAATTACACAACACTTCATGTAAGCTTTTTAAAACCATATCGGGACAATACAGAGGTTATCCACTCCGTCACAAAAAGGAGTCCCCAACCATCCATCCAAAAGCAATTTACTGCAGTAACATAATAATGGGTCCTTTGGACCCAAAGGTTGCCCAATGGTACTCAGTTAATATCATAACCATACCCTGTTGCTACTCATTACGTGATTTTAAAAATCTTAAGTGATACGGCAGATGCACCTTTAGTCTTTCCAGAAAATTCAATTAATAAACTACCGCACCCTTAGTTTAGAATCTCAAAAGAACCGTCATATATAGGAGGTAAGATGGTTGCACATCTTGGTGTTAATTTTCATCCAAATTTAGCGAGTACAACAATAATTTGTCCCTAACACTAAATTTCAAGGGACGCCTTCCCTTGTCAACATACATTATCATTCGATAAGATGCCTTTTCAATATTGTCTCACATCTCCCCATCAAGTTTGTTGCAAGCGATGTGAGACAAGACATCCCACATCCACACTTAGCTTTACGACCTCATCCACCGTCATAGCTTTCCTTTCCAACCCATTGATAGCTCAAAGCGACTCATTCCCGAGCATTTATAGAGGTTATAGCAAAATTGCGATGTATCTAACATTCGTTTCATATTATTTGCAACTTTGGAATATTCTATATCTCACAAATAATACCACAAAGTTGCATATAATATGAAACGGGGGTAGTAGTCAAAGCAAATTCTATTGCGACGCAGCACATTTTGCCTCAATATTCTTTGAGCCATTCACCCATCAATGCGTTGATAGGTTTGTTTGTGGATGGTTTGCCATGGAAAACTTAAATTCAGATCCTAACATGCGATGCGATGCTGATAGTTTATAGCATGCGATGCGTTTCGTGATCAACGCATCAATTTCGTTACCGAATCACCGTAAGCGTTTCCGCGATCGCGATCGAAACCGTATTTTCAAACCATGTTTGTAGGGGACCACATATTGCTAGGACTAGGAATTGTAAATAGCGATGGTGAGGCTCCGCAAGAAAGGGATGATAATGATGTATCACTAAATATGAGCATCATATTCTGAATGTTATAAACGAGGATCACATGAAACTGGTCAATGATGAACTACAGGGTGACAGTGAACGGCAAAGAGCCAAAGATATGTTTGTCTGGATATCCATAATTCCATCAAGGGGGAGTTAGCCTTATAATTCAACCACCAAGTCACATGATCAAAATCTACCGCAGTAAACTTGTCCTGCATCGTCAAGGATGATCCCGTCAAAATGGGATCGTAGAAGAGAAAAGTCGATTTTTTAGCCGTAAAAATGGAAGACTATGAGTCATAAGTTTTTCACTAAAGCAACGGTTGTGGTTGTGGTGTTGTATTTGGGTGGTTACTACTATGTCAAAAACTTCTACGACTAATACTATGCTTATGCAAGTCAAAAAGGGTGTGATACGGGGTGAGCCTACCATTGTGGCTCCGCTAGTCGAAGTGAAAAAAGGATGAAATTTTTTAAGTGGCCGATAAGACATTGATGTTCTATTTAAGGAGTTTGAGGGCTTCATTACCACGATTGCGAAAGGTGGACCATGCTATTTAATTAGAACTTGGTACAAGGCATATGGGGCCATCAAGCTAAACTTCTCAAACAATTGAATGTGTTGTCGGTTACAATTTAGAAATCTAAGGCTCTCTATAGTGCTAAAAATTTGTTTAAAAGAAGGTGGTTCCTCAGAAGCCCGAGATTATCGTGCAATAAATAATATCACGGTGAAAAACAAGTACTCAATTCCAAGGACGGATGATGTGCTTGATAGGCTGTTAAGGGCTACTTATTTCATAAAGCTAGACTTTCAAGTTAGAATCAAAGAGGGCAATTAGCCAATAAGCCCAAAACAACATGCTTTACACATTATGAATTCCTTATCCGGTCGTTTAGGCTAACCACTTCCCTAGCAAAGTTCCATAATTTGATGAATAATGTGCTTTACACATATATTTATATATAAAAAAAAAAAAGTAAAAAGAAAAAAAAAGGCGTAGTGTATCTCGACAACATTGTAATTTATTCAACAGTTTAAAATAAATCATGTAAAATACATGCACTTCTAGTTTTTGAGAAGTTAAGAAAGTGTAATTATTTGTAAATAAAAAAACATAAAAAATAAAAAAAGATAAAATGTGAATTTGCAAAAAATGGAAATTATGTTCCTTGGTCACAAACATTTCAAAACAACATATAATTCTTTTAGTTGAATTGAAGTTCGGAGTTGAATGATGGAATTCAAATTCTAATTCTTTGTTTGGGAAACATGAGAATTTAAAACACAACCTTTGTTCAAATTATTTGCAATAATGTGACATTCACCAACATCTAGGTAAAATTTGTTTGTACCATGGAGAGAGAAATAAAGTTACATGTGATGAAGAGAGAGAGAGAAAGAAAAAAGACAAGTAAAAAAGGAAAGAAAACATTTGTTGCAAATAATTTGTAATATCCAACAATGGTAAATGTTGCATATAAATTGAAATGAAGGTAATGTATAATTTTAAATTCAAATAATTTTTGGTAATCAATAATGCTGTCCTAATAATGCTCGTTCTATTTCAATTAAATTGGAAAAGATGATAATAATAATAAAAAAAAAAAATTATAAAAAAAAGGTACTAAAATTCGCTTAAATAGACCAAAATAGACATTTCTTTACCAATTGATTAAGAAATCACATAAATTAAGAGCAATAAATTTGAAGATTAGTGAAATAAAATCAGCGAATTTAAGTTAATAGAGGCTTACTTAAAATATTAAAGCGATTTCGATACCGATATTTAAGATTGAAAAACAAATGAGAGAAAAATCTCAATTTCTCATACATTTGAATAAATCAAATTGAAAAGAAAAATGATAAAGATTAAAAAACTAACATACCCCTTTGTTAATTCTTTTCTTTTCTTTTCTTTATTTCTATCTTTAGTTAATTAATTTTTTAATATGGAGTAACGTTAATAACCAACAAATCCATTAATATAGATAAGAGAAATATTTCACCAATTATTAGGTTCCCTTAGAATATTACCTGCTAAAAAAATTCATGCATGAAAATAAAAGGCGTAGGCAGAGTAAGAACAATGCAACTGATCATCAAAATGAAGAAAGATTAAAGACACTAACGCAGAAATTCCAGACTTTCCGTATGCATCATAAGCTTGGCGTTGTGTTGGGTCACTCAATACCTGGTAAGCCTCTCCCAAAACCTGAATAAACAAATTAAAACTTATCAACAGTCTATGTCCAAATTAATTACACATTTTGTTACTAATAAAGAAGCAATTATATTGTAGAAAACATATACTTCCTCCGTTTCTTTTTGGTTGCACCACTTTCCTAAAACGGAAGTTTCTAATTAGTTGCGGGTTTCTAATTAGTTGCATCACTTTCCTTTTTAGTTAATAAACTCTCTTTATCTCTGTCCTATCAAATGGGTCTAATTTTTTTTAATCTCTCTATCTCTCACCTCCAAAATTCACTTAGGAGTCCGCAATTTACAAAGTGATGCAACTAAAAAAAATGGAGGAAGTATATGTTTTTTTATTTGAACTTCATTGCTTCCTTACAGCACTTTAGTGTATACATTATACATTTAGCTTTTGTAGTAGATAGTTATTTACTTGCACTCTATGAAGAGGTCTAAATTTACATGGCTTTTGATCTTGTTTGATACTAAAACCTATAGCTTAATCACACCCTTATGTATCAACATACATTATACAACGCACATTACACAGCACACATTATTACTTGGACCAAGGTACAGAATCAAGTCTAATACACAACTATAATTTGTTAAGATCCAACAATTTTGAACAAAAATTTTTTAGGATTTGGACATAGGTGCGGAAACATGACATGTATCAAAATCAAAATTGCTAACTTCCACATATACCAACATTCAAAATTTCAAATTATAAATTATAATGCATGTGTGTACAAGTACAAAGCCCAAAGTGAACAAGTAATTTATGGCTCTTGATAGAAGAAAAATGAAATATATTAGATTAACACTCTCTAACAAAAAGAGGGCTAAGGACAAAATAAAATAATATCCCGAAGTTATCATAAAGCAATATCTCTACAATATCAAAAAATCAAGAACCAAGAACCAACCCATACATTATACACTCAAAAATCCTACTTCCAAGGGCACCACCAAATTGCCAACGGAACGATCTTCCATATTTCAGCAACCAGACCTTTCTTTTACCAAGGTACAATAACATATTTCGCACACGAAGACTGCATTCCAAATAAACCTAATGATAAATGAAAAAGAGAAAAAAAAAAAACTCATGGATATATGAGTGCATATTGATTGACAAATTCTTCCTCCTTAAGACATAAATGACCCAAAAGATTTAAAAAGCTTAAAAGACAATAAAAGTAAAGAATAAAATTAAGCAATATGGCTTTACGGCACTAGCGTTTTAGGTAGCAGTTAGAGGCTGGACAAAGTCATAATATTGCTTTGAGACATTAATAAGTCTTTGGAAAGGTTATGGTTGTAGTAGTGAGTGGTGGTTGAGAATCACTATAAGTGTCATACTTTTCACTATCGATGCAAATGCAATTCTACCAAGTTTTTCGTTCTTTTCTTCTAATTTATCCTTTTATGGTTCCTTCTTTCATAGATAAGATATTCTTCACAACTTGCCTCTCTAAATGATACTCCCTCCGTCCCCAATTGTTCTTCCCATTTGGTATTTTGACACTATTCATATGATGGGAGAATCTTCTAAATTACTCTTAATATATGAGACATAACATAGTCATGTCGGGTCTTATTTTATTCGTCTTAATGAATAGTTTATTAATATTCAATTGTTATATTTTTTTACTAATGAGCAACTAACGATATTTATGGTCAAAATCTTGCATTGGCAAACGTGCACAGTTAAAAATGGGAAAAACATTTGGGGACAGAGGGAGTACATGTTAAAATTTTTAACTTGACCAAACTCATACGGAATCAAAGGAATACAAGCAGCTTTCACGAATAATTTGTTTTTCCCTTTATATTGATAGTTTTCCTTTCTTATTCTATTATTTAGTTTTTAATTGTCCTAAAGATAATAGATTGTTTTATTATGTTAAATAATATATTACGTATAATAAATTTGCCTAAATTGTATATATCTTTGCTGGAAATGGCTACACATAAAGACTAATATAAAAAGTGAAATGAAATTTTTGCTAGGATAAAATGACACATCATATTCATATATTATACGGGGTAACTTTTTGTAATGAGTTTTATTTCATACCCCCGTCACTCAATTCCTGGATCCAGGGGCCAAGTGATCAATAGCTAGGGTCCTTCCAATTGAATTAGGGACATGGGATATAGGATTTCTCTCTCTTCTAGAATTAAAGTCCCATAGCATTTTTATTTTAATTAAATGAACTTAGACATTACTATTGATGCTTTACAATATAAGGCGTAAGAAGTAGCCTAGGAAAAAGCACATAGACGCGCCTTTTCAAAGTATTTAAGCCTGCAAGAGCTAAGGCGCCTATGGCATGCTTTTTGAAAAAGAGTCTAGAAATCAATGAACGAAGAACAGCTAATGAAGAATCAGTCAAAATGATAAGATTTGAATATTAATCTCATCGATATTGATATTAAACTAAGACCCTGGCAGTATAACACTTCCTCCGTTCACTACTGGTTGCACTAATTCATATTTAACGTTGTTTTACTCACTCGTTTGACCATTAGTTAAAAGTCACAAAAAGTTGATATTTAAAATTATACATTGTGGTGACTCTAAAAAGAAATCAATAGTCTACTTTTTTTCTTATATATTAATAAGATTTCACAATCAAGATTATTCAAGTTTAACCTTCAAAAGGAGATGCAACTTAATGAAGAGAGGAAGTACTAAATTGTTATTAATTCGTAATAAAAAGATGCATAGAATTTGATCATAATTAAATTAGTCAAATTGTAATTAACTTTCCAATTACATTTAAAATCTTATACGTCTTTTACAATTCCTACCAATTCCTTTATCACATGAACTATAAATCACTACTTTGATAGCGTAAAAGCTATGTTTATGCCAAAAATCGCCCAAAGAGCGACGAAAGGTTGGAATCGGGCATATATATATATAGGGGAAGGCTCTCGTGAGAACCCCTCCTTTATGTGAGAACTCTTCTTATATGAGAACTCTTCTTATGTGAGAACACTTTTTATATTCTAAATTTTTACTCGTATGTTCTAAATTTTAAATCTGATGTTCTAAACTTTTCCTCGAGTGTTCTAAATCAAATCAGATGCTCTAAATTAGTACTCACATGTTCTAAACCATAAATTAGTTAAGTTAGATGTTATAAATTTTAAATGACTTGTTCCAAAATTTAACTTATATGTTCTAATTTTTAAAACGTATGTTCTAAGATTTTTAGCTATATGTTCTAGATTTGAAAGCATATGTTCCAATTTTTACTCGTATGTTATAAATTTTTACTCACATTTTCTATATTTTATACCAAGTGTTCTAAATTTTTATTCACATGTTCTGAATTTTAAATCAGATGTTCTAAATTTTACTCATATGTTCTAAATTTCATAAAGCAGATTTTCTAAATTTTTACTCACATGTTCTAATTCTTAAATCAGATGTTATAAATTATTACTCATACAGATGTTCTAAATTATTACTCATATGTTCTAAATTTTAATTTGAGTCACATGTTCTAAATCTTTACTCATATGTTCTAATTAGATCAGTTCTCATATAAGTATGAATTCTCACATATGGACCTATTCTCACCGGATCCCTCCCTCCCTCCCTCCCTCCACTACTGACAATTCAGCCACTAGTCCCTTCTTTCGTAACACTTATTCCTCCATTACTCTACTTATTTCGCCTCCTAAAAATCTTTACAAAAAACTTTAGACCTTGCTCCATCATGATCCAATTGCCTCCATCTCGTTGGAAAATACATCTTGTCGCTTGGTGGGCAGTTCCACACTATTAATATTCATCTTTCACTTTCATTGTCAAAGATGTGATAAAGGTCTTGCTGGGCATAGTTGAAGTATAGGCACTTAATCAATCAATCAAAGCCTTAATCCCATACGTGGAGTCGGCTACATGAACCAAAAGTGATTATTCCATATAGTCATCGACAAAAATCTTCGTCCTCCATCCCTTACGATTAACAACCTCCTTCTCATGCAAATCCATATACTTCATATCTTTCCTAACTCCTTCCAACCAAGTCATTTTCGGTTTCCCTCTACCTCGTTTAACCTCTCTATGATCCCACTCTTCGTAGTGGTGCAACCTAGGGTCTCTGTGTTTTACAGGTATGAACCAACGTTGGCAATTTTCCCTTACTTTGTCCGCAATGCCTATGACAACCACTTTCTTGTGAATAACTTCATTTCTAATTCTATTTCTTAGAGTGTTCCCGCACATCCATCTTAACATGCGCATTTCTATAATCTCTATCTTTTTAATATGCTCCTTCTTAGAAGTCCAACAATCTGTGCCATAAAGCAACACTGGTCTTATGGCATAGAATTTCCCTTCAACTGTAAAGGAATGATTCGGTCACATAACACTCCCGTGGCCGCTCTCTATTTAAGCCACCCGACTTAATCCTGTGGACCACGTCTTGATTAATGTCGCTATTCTTCTGCATGATCGACCCAAGATAGTTAAAACACTCGCTCATGGTCAAATCCTTTCCGTCCAAAGTCACTACATCATCATTTATCCCCCTCTACATACCAAAGTGATATATTAAATATGCAGTCTTACACCGACTTAGCTTAAACCCTCTAAATTCCAACCTTTGCCTCCATTGCTCCAATATGGCATTAACCCCATCTTTAGTTTCATTCATCAAAATGATATCATCCACAAACAACATACACCATGGAACCTCATCTTTAATTGGCTTGGTTACTTCATCTAGAACCATTGCAAATAGAAAAAGGCTTCATAATATTTTTAAAATGACGTTAAAAGGAATATTGTGCACCTCTTTGAACGAGCTTTCCTAAATGTTGTACCCCATTTGCCTAATTCCTAACTACACATTTTTCTTGCCTTACCTACACCATTGATATCTGAGTTCTCTCTCTCTCTCTCTCTCTCTCTCTCTCTCTCTCTCTCTCACACACACACACACACACACACAACTAGAGGAGTCAGCTCTTTATGAGGCTTTCAACCTTTTGAGCAAGTATTGTAGATGTGAGGCGCCTTCATGGAAAAAAGGATGATTGCCCTTTCCAATTTCCTCTTTGTTTCTCCTCTATCCTACAATGTTTCATTAGTTTCCAGAACCACACTATGAGTAGTAATTCATACATAATGAGTGATAGTCTAGTTGAAGCCACAACAATCTTAACTCTAATCAATTTGTTCCATATCTTCAACTTCCTTCGTTCCTAAAAGTTTTCCCTATTTTGACTATACATGTTTAGTTCTGTATTACTTTGACCATTCATATCTTTAGTAGCATATTCGTAAAAAAAAAAAAAAAAAAAAAAAAAAAAAAAAACAATTGAATATGAATAGTCTGCTCATTAATACGAATCAATTTTAATTAGAAAATTTAAAGGTAACATGGGAACTTGTGAAAAAAAAAATTTTAAAAAATAAGTCTATAAGATTGACTCCATGAAGACAATACATATAATATTTTCACTAATGCCAAATCACATTACTAAAATAAAATCAAATACTACCACTAGCCACAGGCTTATAGCCAAAACTCAATCAATTATGAAAAATTTCCTAATCTGGTCCAAATTGAAATGTTAACTGCTTGTATTCTTGTCGAAGGTATGATGGTATAAAGACCACGGGCCCATATAATATTTTTCTTGGTAAAAGGATAACAGCTTTAAAATATCATCAGGCTATTCAAATTAGATGTACTTGCCTGAAACTTCTGAGCTGCAAGGGGGTCGTTAGGATTTCTATCTGGATGAACTTGCCGCGCCTACAAGCACCATAGACACATTATTACAAAGAAAAATTAATTTAAAATAAAATAAAGTACAATTTCTCTTGCCTAAGTATTTTAACAATTACAATTTATAATTAGAGCCTGTCATGAAAGGACTTTAGTTTATCTTAATTAATCTAAGGATTTTAGGTGTAAACAAGCAGTGTTAAAAATCCGAAAAAATCTGTTCCTTTACCAATTTGTCAGTCCATTTGGATGAAGAAAAAGAAAAGGACTTCTTACTGAATAGCATTGTGACTTCCTGCTTTCAAGCTGGCATTTATGAATTGTGAGGGTTTTATACAGTTGAAAGCATGCAATTCGTTTGGAGCATCATTTCTCCCACTCAGCTTTTTATAATTTACAGATACAAATTGGCTCATGAGTAAGCCTCTAATGCTTAGATTTAGGTATAAATGTGGCAACCGCCATTCTTTCGTGATTCATTCGGATCATCACTCTCCCTCTATCTCTCTCCCATGATTCAAAAGAAGCCAGGTCATGTTCAGTTAGGTACCCAAATTATTACAAGCCTTTCTTACACCCTCATCACAAATACAATATGCTCAGTTCTTAGTCCGAAACGATACGATATCAAACAGCCGAACAATTATTATGATTTCAATGACATTGCATGAGTTATAAAGAAATAATGCTAACATACATAAATGAAACACATAATCAATGAAATCAACCTTACATTAATTAACCTAAATCAGAAACCTTCGACTTAGGGTAAAACAAAATAGAGGCAAATCAAAATCAAAATCAAAATCAAAATCAAAATCAAAATCAAAAACAAAAGCAAGCAAAAGTGATTGACGATTAAATCGAGAATTGTTAAAAATTACCTTATTGTAATAGGCTTTCTTAATCTGGGCTTCAGTAGCAGTAGGGCTAACCTCAAGAACATCATAAAATTCAGTCTCCTTCACCATGCTTTTTCAATTCTAAGATAATTTGATCAATACACTAACTTCAATCAGATTTATCAGCAACAACTAATTTTGGGGTTTTCTGAGTATAATTGAATTCAGCTGAAACTAAAACTGCTTTTTCTCTCTCCTCTTTTATTTTTCCCGAAAGATGTGATCGATTGATCGTTCGTTGAGTTCAGAGGCTTAGGATAGATACGAAACAGTTTGTTCTTTGTTGCCACCACATTTTTATTATTTGCCCAAGTCTCTCTCGTTCTCTTCCTCCTTAAGGCCTTATTACACTCTTTTTACTTGTCTGTCTCATACGAATGATACTCTATATACGCGATGCAGGTTTGACCCTTCTTTTTTTTCAAAGATTAGTTATTGGAGAAATAAAAAAAAAATAAAAAAAAAAACGAGGTTGTGTGTAGCGCTAAAGATGGCAATTTTAAATAAAAATCTGGTAACTCGCTCCACACATTTTAAATAAATGGATGAAAATCCGACTTAAATAGATGGAAGGCGGATGATGGATGAAGCAAGGGAATGGATCAAGTCAAATTCGAGTAAAGCTTTGAATCATCCGTCACTCAATGCATTGTCCGCTTACTATCTGACCTATCATCCATCCGTTCAACAGTTTAACAATGTGTAGGAGCAAAATAGTTGCATCTCTTAATTTTCTTTGGTTCTTCTCTACCAACTATATTTTCAAACTGTACTATAAAGTGTATATTTGATTACAAGCAATGTTATTAAAATCGCGATTCGGATCGTATAATCGTACAATTTTATGATCCTAATCCACCCAAACGATTTAAAATCGTTGGTAGAATCGCTCTCCGGTATAATCACTCATAGAATTGGTGGAATCGGATTGATTTCACGAATTTACACCGATTCTAACGATTTCAATCCTACAAACAATCTTTTCCGAAACCCATAACTTTTGATTGCGAAGTCGAAATGGGCTTATAATATATCATTGGAAAGCTCTTGAGGTCTAATTTCTAATACAATTGGTCATAGTGTCATACCCATATCATTTATATATTTTGTGTTATAGCCTAAAGTGTGTTAGGGTGTCATAGTTGAGCCTAACTTCAGCCAATGACTCATATATTATTCAATAATAAATCATAATTAAGCTTATGAAACATCAACTTAAAGAAATTTTAAAATTCTATCGAACCATTTAAATTTTTGGGCAAAAGAATATATTCATGAGTCTTATACACTCTACTTTGGGCATATAAAAAACTCTTTTATAACATGAGTTTGTTGTAGTTAGTTGTAGCTATCTCGTGGAAATGAACTAACTTGATACTTAGTATTCTATTATCAATGGATTTTTTTTATTAGTAGAAACAACTTTAGGAGTCAACAACATTAATTTTTTTTTATAATTTGTCAATAATTGTCTCGTACTCTCGTGATTAATAATATGTACCGATATTCTGACTTTATAGTGTACTATTTGAGCTATGTGTTTGCGAAATTACTTCTAAAACTATTTTATGTTAGTAAAGCGGGTGTTTGACAATTGACTTTTTGCCTAGATTTTGGCTTTTGGCTTTTTAGTTTGGTTAAACAGCCAAAAAATATGTTTGGTAGTTGGCTTTTAATTGGCTTTTAAGCTGGTTTTTCCGCTAAAAATCAAAAGCTAATAGGAGTTGCTTTTTCTATTGCCTTTTGGCTTGTTGGCCCACTTTATCTCTAATAAACAGCTAACAACCATTAATAACTATACCAAACATTTTTGTAAACAGCCGGCTTAAACAACTAACTTAAAAAGCCAATCCATACAACTAATACTTCCAGCTAGTCAAACAAGCCAACAACCAACAGCCAACCGCCGATTACAAATTATAATAAAAACTAGAACAATACGAAATTAAACTGTTGCGACTACTTTTGCTAGTCTATGTGCTTCTTCTACCCTTACTCTTTTTTCCTTACGGACAATGCACCAATTAAACCCTTTAACTCTTTCCTTAATCTCGTTTATTGTCCAAGCTACAGTCTTATCAATGACATTCTCCTTCTGTGGTAGTTCTACCAAATTTGCATCATCCGTTATAAAGATCATACTAGTAAAACCTCCCTATGAACACCATTTATAGCATTGAGACAAGCCATAGTTTCTGCTTGAAGAGAAAATCAGAGTTTGCCATCCCACAACAGACAATGTTTGTATTGTCGATATCATGTTATGAACAACATATATTATTATCATTCTCGTTGCTTGAAAATTATGTATAATCATTAATTACATTTTGAAGCCCAATTTTTCAATTTTGTAGAATCGTACGATTGTACGATTCGATTCTACCCCACTCACCGATCCAAGGTAAAATCCCGATTTTGATAATTATGATAAGTAATCTAAAATTAATCAAATATATGAAGGAAAAATTCACAAGAATAATACAAACTTTAGGTGACCCTCTCTAAACAAGATAAACATTTAATTATTCATAAGCAAGATAAATTTGGATATGTGTTTTCTTTAAACAATACACAACCTGTACATGACCTGTAATATAGGTTACTATAGATTATATGTATAAATAATTAATAATCTTTCATAATATTTTACTTGATCCCGGGGGTTTGTGGGGAGTTGGGGATGGTGGCTAGGCGGTGCTATAATACCCCGTATTTTTGAAACGTATTTTCTAATTAATTAATTAGTATTTCTAAAAAGGGTATTTTAGTAATTTCTGTTACTATTTAAATTTTGGAGCTAAAATGATATTTGAATTTTGGCGCCAAAAACATTTTAAAACTTAATTATTATTTTCGGATTTTTGGATAAGGTTTATTATCCATTTATTTTATTTTAAAAATGGATTATATATATATATTGGATATTTTAATCAAGCAAAAAAACTATATTTTCCTATTTATTTTAAAAGGGCTGAATTTTCCTAATGATTTAGCTAGGATTTTCGGATATTCTTAGTGAAGCAAAACTGATTTTCTTAGTTAAATTAATTAGTGGTTAATTGGTATTTTTCTAATTAATTATTTTCTACAAAATATATTATTTACACAATCATTTTTAATCCCTAAAATCTAGCAAAATAATTCCTAAGATCTAATCAAGAGGGCTGAAAATATGAGCTTAGGAAAGCTAAAAAATTTTGGCCACATTGGGTGATTTTTGAGCAATTTATTTTGGTAGTTTTGTATTTTTAATTTTCTTCCTTTATTCTTATTATTTTCCTAATTCTTATTTCCCATCTCATAAAGATTTGATCATCTTATTTATTTAGTTGAAACCACACTTGATTATTCCCTAAGCAAAGACACTTACCATTTAATATTTCATGACTACACACTTACCTTATTTTCTTATTCCTTAATCAC